TGAATCGTTTGCCCAGGCCCTAATTCGAAAAAAAAGAAATCGAGTATGGGACGCCAATTAATTAGGTATGGCGCGCACTAAGTGCAATAAAGAGTGAGTAACCTAAAATTAGGGCCTGGAACCCAGGCTATCGTATGCAGGGCGTTATTAGATCTTACTCTACTGATAGTTATCTCTTCTACAGTCGTCGTTGCTGTTATTGTTGTTACTTCTAACTCATTACTGTCTCCCGGTTTAGAAGAATGAGAGGCAGTAGGTGAGTCAGGGTTGGTCGATGTTTCTACAGTTTCTTGGTGTATCTTTTGCGGACTAGCAGCATTGCTAGGCCCACCCGGAACAGGATGCATGTTTCGTGGACTAACAAATTTATTGTTAGGCCCACCTGGAACGGGAGAAACTGTGTCGTTCTTGGTTTCTTCGTCTTTAAATAGTTGTTGACCGCTAAGGGGAAGATGGTCGGTTAGCTGGCCATGGCTTCCGACCCCTACTCGTTTAAAGGATCCTCTCCATGGGGGCCAACCCGCCTAGGTTGTTTGGAAGAGACGAGTTTGGGACAGTTATTACGACAGTGTCCCACATCTTGGCATTCAAGGCATCGATCCCCACGTGGTTTCAACATATCCAACACTGCATCCAGCTTTCTGTTAACTGCATCAACCTGATCTTCGAGGCCGGTTAACCTTCTTTCAGTGTTGCATGATGGAGATGGGGATGGTTTCTGGCCTGTCGTGACCGGTTTACTTGCGGGTATGACTGCAGCTTGTCTTGCAGGAGCGGAGGATCTGGGATAGTTGGACTTACCACCCCGGTTGTAACGTTCACTTACTTGTTGGAATTTCGCAGCCCTGCAGTTTCTGCTCCCTGCATCTTCATCCTTGGAGTAAGGAGATGATGAGTGTTGAGTGACACGGGTAGCAGACTTGATCAGAGACTTCCCACTATTTCGAGATCTGCTCCCACTCTTACCATACAACTTCCGCAGGCTGTAATACTGTTCATACTCAGTCAAAGCCTCTGCCAGAGGAAACTTGCTCGTGGAGGACATATCTCCCAGCCTCAGTATCTCGACACCCAAGACAGAACCTAGTAGCAGCTTCCTGACGGATCTAGGCGTTTGGTAGATCTTTGTATGCCTTTCGGGTCATGGTCATGACTCGATCACCCCACTCGTTGACGGATTCGTCCTCACGTTGAGTGGCGGTCTCCAGTTTAGCTTGCAGGACGGCGGGCAAGTCTTCCTCCCCGAAGCGTTTGTCAAAGGCCTTCAAGATCTTCTTAAAGGTGATCCTACGGTCCATTTATAGGAGATTCACATAGAAATCAGCCGCAGGTCCCTCCACACACCAACAGAGTGTTTCGATTCTAGCTTTTGGTGAGAGCTCATACTCTTCATTAAATGCCATAAAGCGTTTCTTAAAGAAAGACCAGCTTCATTTGCCTTTGAATATGGGATTCTTGGGGATGTCTCTCGGCTTGAGGGTACACATCTCGTGTCTAAAATCTCCCTGTCGTGGGCTGTGTCTACGATAATCCACCCATCGTTGACGAGGTCTATAGTAATCTTCCCGTCGTTGATCATGTCTATAGTCTTCCCATCTTTGATCAGGTCTAGGATAATTTTCTCGACGCTGATCAGCTCTGACGTGTTCCTGAAAGGTTTGCCGACCTCACAAAACCTCACTATCATCCTCATCAAAACTTCCCTCACTCTTACTTTGACTATCACTCTCCTCCTCACTCTCACTTTCTTCGGAGGATTCGACAGTACGGCGGGTTTGCCTGCTTTTCCCCTTAGATGATGACTTATCCAACCGGGATGCTGGCCCATAATACGGATCCAGGAAATCTGGACCCGACCCACCCTGTGCAGGTATTTTATGTTGGTGATGAGAAGGGTTTGTGGAAGGAGTTAATGGCAGCTGTCGACTACTGGAAGTAGCAGCCAGGTTTTTTCTATCAGCCTGCGATGATACTGAATGTATCACTGTACGTACACCATTTCCTCCCCATTCAGGATTAGGAGTGAAGTCTATATGCTTCTCTAAATTGGACCTGCTAACCCCTTTAATAGCATCTAAGCTATCCGGCGTTAAGTTCCCATGACGTGATCTCCAACGGATTATCTGTTGAGCCCGTCTTTTATTTACACATGGGAGATTATACAGATCTCTCTCGTCACAGAGATTTATTTTAACAATAAAATTAACCTTTGACATTGTTTATGGGGAAAATTGCACATACAGAGGTTAAATAGGTAGAATTGAAATAAGTGGATTTGCAATGATAAAATTATACAATAGATAAACAAATCAATGCTTCACAAATATCAATTTAAAACCTGAAATCCAATCTATCTTCCGTCTCACACACTTCTTCCCGCCCACGCTATAGTATCACGTAATACGGCCGCAACGCGTCACAACCTCACACAACAGCCGACGTACGAATGCACGCCGACGTGAAAGGTTGAAACAAACGAACTGCAAAATACGCCTAACTAAAATACTCCTAGTCTATAAAAACTAATTGTAGAGGTACTCGAAAGACCGCACCATAATATAGTTTGTGGCCCTGTACGCTTCCATCTACAATGTCCCTATTTAAAAACTACGCTAAAAACCTAGTCTCTATTAGCTGTGAGGGTACTCGCCGGTCCGCAATTCAATTGCCGGCCCCGAACACTTCTCCCCACAGAAAAAAAACCTAACTAATTAAAAATAGAGCCACTAGTAAAGCAATATATAGTATGTGCGAAAACACAATACTAATGCTCAGTAGCCCCCAAAATACTATTATAGTGCTTTTGTACTATACCTCGCCAATGTAGTATTTAATAATATAACTAATTCAACTACACTGACAAGCCTTTTGATCGCAGCGCCAGTGTAGTATTTATCCTACACAGGCACTAAAAAACAAGCAATGTCTACAAGCATTTTGCTCGCAGCGCCAATGTAGTAATTATCACATATATACTGTAATAAGTACCGAGTGAAGCTTCTTACCTTATCCAATAGGATGTATTCCTAGGGCGACAATATACAATATAGTACACACCGTATATAGTACGGTATATACCTTGTATAACAGACCCGGACACCAGATACACATAAACAATCCTGCGATAGGGTTAATGATGCTCTCAGAATAAAGTCCAGTGTACGAGTGATTAATCTCACCAGGTACCCCTGGTCGGCTGTGCAGCACACCCGGCTGTGGGTTATGCAGATGAGCTGACCTTGAGGTCATGTCCTCCTGCGTAGTTCGGGGATACGAACGTACGGGGGTCGTCACTACAGGATGGTGGATGCCATCAAAACAAAACGTCCCTAAATACACATAACCTCATCTAGCCTAACAATATTTACATGAGGTTACTCCTGTGTGATACAATATTAACAATGATTATGTTCATATTTACATACCGCTTGACGAAATGCTATATTTTTAATAATTCAACGTCGCCAATTACAACGAATCATACCCAAGTCTCACCCTGTCGTTCTCCGCTTCCCACATGGGATGATCATCACAATGTCACGGCTGACCGCATAACAATGATATATATTTATACACCCCAAATGGGCAGTGTTAATTTAAATAGTTATGGCACCTAGTTTAATATAGCCCAGAATTGTGCTTTTAGACCAATATTTTATGGATTGGCAATGAATAACTTTATTTTGATAGGAACAATTAGTATTTAGGCGTTGGATTCCGAGGTCCATGCCTATCAGACGGTAGGAATAGTATTTAATAGTCTATCTACATGAACGTTTTAATTAATTTGCTGAGTTCTTGAATCTCACAATTATCGTTTACATCTTAAATATAACGTGGCCAACACAACAGTGCAGTGATGGCGCCAGGACCTGCCTGACGGAGGGTCTAAAGGCCGCGACGGGGGAGGGCTAGTGGAGCTAATCGAGTCTGACTTGGCTGGGGCCAGGGGCCGCCTAGTGCCACCGGTGTGGGTCTAGTGTCCGAAGCATCCTGGAAGTCACATATATTTTACGAATTATGGCTAATTTTTAGTACTACTTATTTGGCATCGAGCTACTATAATATGAATTCATAATAGGCTATGTTTTCAAATGTCGAAATCAGCTTCCAAAACCAAAACATTTTGAATCAAACAAGAAACAAAGAGTATGCAATGTAACCATCTAATTTATTTTAAAATCCTCATTCTGGAAAGTGAAATTCTACATTTTGGAAATTTTGAATTAAATCTGTCAACCACGCTGTCAAGGTTGTGATGAAAAGTAAACAAAAATGGTTTAATGCAAGGAACTATTTTTTTAATTGTTTATTCCCCGACAAAACTTACTCGCCTTCCCCGACGGGGGCTATGCTTCTCCTAGAGGGGGAGAGGTGGCTATAGCCCCAGCCCCCCACCCTCTTGGCCCCACCATTGCAACACAAGAATTCTTTTTTATGGCCTTATTGTGCTGCCATAATAATGTAATTGTTTTGCTTTGTAATATAGACAAAATTGTAAATTAAATAAGGATTTTTTTTTCCCTTAAAGAACCTTTAGATGAGCCAGAAATAGAATTGAAAACAGCTGATGGTAATGAGATAACCCTTTCAATAAAGGTAAGTATGCTTATGCCTATTTGAATATTACAATCCTATTTTCGATGTTACGTGTCCTCATGCTGACCAATGGCAAGTCATAGACGGTATTGATTGAATAATATAAGTTAATATAAAGATAAATGTGTTAGCGATATTAAGCCTTTCGCCTCTATTGTACTTATAGCCCGTTTCAAATTCTCCTGAGAAAATCCAATGTGATGATATACTTCGATATCAAGTGCGATACCAAAGCAAAGATGGGAATGAACATGACATTGTCAACACAACAGACGGTTTGCAAACAGAAGTCAAGATATCGGGATTATCAAAATGTGTTGCTTATGACGTCGATTCTAGAGTTGTTAATAACGAAGAGGTTGTCGGAGATTGGGGTGTACCTGTAGCGGTTCAAACAACACCATCAGGTTAGAGCCTTACTATTAGTGAAAAGGTTTATTATAAAAATTAGTAGCAGTAATATTCTGTATTATTATTAAATATATTGCATAGACCCAATAATAGGTAAATGTAGGGTGCTCATTATTCTACTGTCATCATATTCTTAATGTAGGAATACTGACTGTCCTTGTAGAATGCAATATGCGATGGTTAAATAATCATAATCTGGCTTATACCGTCTTGTATATTATACACCGTATACAACGAAGTTACATCAGTTTAATTATTATACTGGAACAGAATCAAACGCCAAGAACCAGCGTATATTTTTTCACCATTTTATAACTACGCCATTTTTTTAATTCATCCTAAGAATGACTGTGAACCAGGAAACAGTGACATTTCACTGTTCCCTGCTATAAACACACGCTTTACATTGTTTTTTTTTTTTTTTTTTTTTTTTTTAATACGTATACAGGTATATATATAGCATGTCTTCCTCTAACATTTTTGACTTATACAACTATATTTAAAATATGTATTATTATTATTATTATTATTATTATTATTATTATTATTATTATTTTTCTTTTTTTCTTAATTTTGTTCATTTTGAAAACTTTAGGTGGGGACCAGGCCAGCTTGGCCCCCTTAAATCCGCCACTGTTCCTAAAAAAATATTATTTTAGTGTCAAGCACAAAACACACGTGTATGTTACATTATTCTATAAATAAAATGAATGAAAATGAATGAATGAAAATATGAATAAATAAATAAATAAAAATGAATAAATAAAAATAAATAATGAAAATGAATAAATGAATGAATAAAAATAATCGAATGAATAAATGAAAAGGAATGAATAAATGAATAAATGAATGAATGAGTGAGTAAACAAATGAATGAATGACTGATTAAATGAATGAATTAAATAATAATTGAGTGAGTGGGTGGTGGGTGAATGAATGAATGAATGAATAATTGAATTAATGAATGAGTGAGTGAGAGAATGAATGAGCGTAAAATATTTTGAGTTTTGTTTTTGTTATCACAGAGGACATATTATGTTTATTAATTAATATTATTATTATTATTATTATTATTATTATTATTATTAATATTATTACTAATATTATTATTATTATGTTTTATATTATTATTATTATTATTATTATTATTATTATTATTATTGATTATTATTAATGAAAATATATAAATATTATTAAAATTTAACAGGCCTACAAGTAGTTATTCAAAATATCAGAACAGCTGAATGAATGAGTGAATGATTGATTGAATGAATGAATAAATGAATAAGTGAGTGAGTGAGTAAGTGAGAGAGAGAGAATGAATGAATGAATGTAAATGAGGGGGAGAATAAGTGAATGGATGGATGGATGGATGGATGGACAGATGAAATGAATAGACTAGATATAAAAAATAGTTTACAGACAAGCAACATCCCTAAATTGATCATAATCTGATTTAAAGTTTTTTTTTATTATTATCACAGATCACATATTATTTTTATTAATTATTATTATTATTATTATTATTATTATTATTATTATTATTATTATTATTATTATTATTTATATATATAAATACTATTTAAATGTTGCAGGCCTAGAAGTAGTTATTCAAAACATCAGAGCAATTGACATATTAAATTACCTGTACGATTAAAATTTATTAATAAATTATCAATATTTTCAAAGTTACCCGTCTTTGACTAGGAAGGAAGGGAGGGGAGGGGCCGGCTAGACCTAGACTAAGTGTAGTTAGGTTGAACCTTTGGAATGAAATCGAATCTAGGCTATGCCTATGCCTTAGCCTAATATATGATGCTAGTAGGCCTAGTAAGGAGATAGTGAATTCAAGAGGCCACCACTGAGGTAATTGAACGCCAGGAAGGTACTATTGGGGGATCCCACTATGACACTCAAAAGTAGGGAGTCTCTTGACAATTCTAAATACCTAGGCCCTTCGCCCCTAAGCAAGAGGCCCAGCTTCTTCCCACACATGATCTAGTCGAAAGTTATTTAACATAAACATAAACTAGGGTATGCCGTGAGCCTAGGCCTAGGTAGATTGATCCTCAATGTTTTTGTAAGCATTAAAGTTGTATAAGTCGAACATTTTAGAAGAAGACATGAAACACATACCTGTATACGTAATATTTTAAAATTAAAAAAAAA